AGTGTTGCCAGAGATGGCAGACGCCTCATTGGGGCGCAAAACGCACCGGCCGAGCCGAGCCGAGCCATGCCGAGCCGAGTTTTAGTAGTTACCCAAGTCTGATCCCTGCTGCAGGACTACTCTACCCCTTGCATTTTGCTGGTGCTTTAATTGGCTGTCGTTTCATCAAAACGATAAACTGCGCAGATAACTAACTGATCCAGTAAAGAATTAAACCTTAGTTTGCGGAACGGGCGTTTGAATTGGATCTGCAAGTTCTGTTCCGAGTACTTTCCTCTCCAACAATCCGCTGCTGTCGTCGGGTTCCTTGACTGTTGTCTGAAATCGATTTTTATAGTACTTAAAAAAGGTAATTAATTACAGGAAGACTGTAGCAGTAGTAGCAGCTCTGTGTGCGTTTACCTCGTCACTTTCTTCGGCTTCTGGAATTTTTTCCACGCCAAAGTCACCATCGTAATAGTTTTCAGTATTTTCGGCAGTACCGTTCTTATCTGCAATAAACATAAAGAATGTTAGATTTGCAAACACTACGCGTTCTCTGCAAAAATTTCTGTACAAAAAACTTTGCCAAATAAAAAATTTAATCTGCAAAATGCATTACTTCTTCTGATGCTTTATTTTTAATACACTTTGATGGTATTTTTTATTAGTTATTCAGCTGTAGGCAGACCGCAGGCAGTAGTAGCGTATGCTGAAATAAGCAAAGCACAAGTCCTTTTTTTTTGGTGGGACGTGAATGTTTTTTTAGCCAATTTTGCCATCAGCAGTTTGATGTTGTTCTGCAATCAGGTGTGAACGATATTTCCCACTTTTTTGCGCAACTACATTATTTTCACTATATTATCAGTTGTTGGTCTAACACCCAAACTTAGCCGGGCAAAATGCAACATACAGCGTGTAAGATGAGGAAAGTTACCAGGTGTCGCCAAACCCGCGAAAGTCGGCAAGGCCACTACAATAAAACTATATATGATTAACAAAAGGTAGTCGAGAAAAATAAAATGTACACTGCCTTTGGGAGGCAATCAAGACAAAAAGGGAGCATTCTGCTTTGAAAAAAATACATATAATGGATGTACTCCTGAGGCACAATGGTTGATTGTATAATAGGTCACGTTCGGATGTGAAAAGGAGTAGTTCGATTCCCTTCTCGTCCACAACCATTTTCAAAAAAAGCCCCCTCCGCTCCCTCCATCAGGGTTCCTCGTGCGCCGGTGCTGCTAAGCCCACTGCCATTCCCAAAGAACGACTAAGCGCCCGCATCAGAAACTATGAAGCTGGCGATTACGCAAGCACGCAAATTCGAAGCTTTCAAAACTCACCTTGTCTCGCACTCTCCGTGCTAGTCACAGTGACTGAAGTGCTTGGGTGAATGATTGCTTCACTGCCGTCATTTTCACTGCTGAAATCACCAAGAACTGGACGACTCTGGTGTTCCACCTGGACGCCGTCACTGCTCAAGGTTTTCTCGCGGTCTTTTTCATTACCTGCCTTAAAAAGATTATTCGTTCAGTTTATGAGCAAAAAATCTACTTGCATGATATTCCCCCGTCTGCAAACACATTATTTCAAATGTTTTTGTGAGAAGTTCCTAGAAATCTTCGGCGACAAATCTTTAAAAATTTCCCGAGGTAAATTCTGATAATATTTAATAACAGGCAAATCAAGGATCAGAATTCAAAAATCAAAATCGAAAGAAACCGGCAACAACCAACGCCTGATGACATTCTATAGAAGCATCTCTCAGTAGCATCATTGGCGTGGGATTCCTAGCATCGACTGTCCGAGCGGACTTGGTATTTCTGGTGTTTTTGTCAAAAAAGAGCAAGCTATAAAAATTCAAGACGAAAATTGAAAGACTTGTTGCGCTTTTTTAAAAACGGATACTAACAAGTACAAATTTAAAAACTTGTTCTCTCAAATTGTTCCTTTTTGACAATTACTGGGGTTTTACCAGCAAAGCATTTCGTTTAATTCAAAGGCGTTGAAGTGGTCAAAATTTCAGTGTTCACTTCTTATTTGGGCAAAAAATTTTGAGAGTTCAAAAATAAGAGATGTGTGCAATAATTTGGCCTGAGGGCATAAATCAAGTGTGCAAATCCGGCAATTAATAGTTGAAAAGTTTTACGCCTCGCCATTGTACTGGTTTGCGTTACGCTGAAAATTTCCTTAGTCAATTTTATAAATTTCTTTTTATAGGTTTTACACGAAAGATTTCAATCCCATCTCTGGTATGTTGCACCCAACTCCACAAGGAATGTTAATTCTGGATTCAGCCCTTTCCCACATACAAAATTCGAAGTGAAAATCGAAAACTCCCTTCTGTTTGTGACCTCAGGCTCTTACTAGCTACAATTTTAGAGCCGACAGAATTAGAAAGCTTGAAATGTAGGATCTAATGCTGCTTTTTTAAAGAGGTCAACATGGCACGTTTACTCTTCATCCTTCCTTTTCCTCTTTTCCGCTGTCGTCACCATAGTCTGTTGTGGCAGAAGTCCACATAATGTTAATTCGGAAACAGCCGATAAAGAAGAAATTTAATGTGACTGGTACAGTAGCTGTGGCTACAAAAAAGGAAAACACGGAAGCAACAGCTGCCTGAAATCTAAATAAACAGCGAATTTTTAACTTCAGAGGTACATTCAGGAATTTTAAATTCATCTTACCTCGGCAACAGAGACCTCAGGTAGCTGGCCAAATTGTGTGGCATTGCCAGCATATGGATGTGTTTGAATTGTACTGATGGTATTCGGCGATCCAACAGTTGAGTCCACAGTACCACCGGAAGTTGAAAACGGCCGAATCAAATCTGTGCGCAATCGCTGGAGCCAGTCTGCTAACTGATTTGAAACAGCTGCAATGAAATGACTTGGCGACTTTAATTTTCTTGGAATTTTTGAAGAATTTTATTTTATTTTTCTAGTGAAATACGTCAGTTTAAAAAAAGGAAGAGATTGCGGACTAATGCGGATTTTATGCACCTGATTTTTCCGGAAGGAATAAATCACCAGATGCTAATTAATTTTTTAACTGTTGACTTGCAATTCCTCTCCTTCTAACCGCTATTGGTCATTTGTCCTTTCCTTTCCCCCTCACCTGTCCCTTACACTCTCATTTCTCATTCTCACCTTAACAAAACTTTGCGGAGTTTCCCACAGAATTCAGATACTTCCCGGTTCAGGAAATTTCGGGAAATTCTGTTTAGAAAGCTCTCACATTACTGCATATCCTCTTTATTTTCTTGTCTTACCCGTCAAATTCAACATATTGAATTGAATTTTCAATTCTCCGTCGTATGGTGAACGCACCAAAACGATTTTCCTCTTCAGTGATGGAGAAAATTAAATCCAGTGGGATTATGCGTGGTATGGAAACTCGTTTTCTGGATTCAGTAGAAGAGCTTTTTAGAGTTCATTAAAGGCTTTAAAGGGTCGGATGCAAACTGGATCCAAAGAGGCAAACAACCGTTTGCAGCCACAAACAATTTTTTACATGAGAAGAGAACTGGATAAAATTCTCAAGCTAACCTTTTATTAACACGCTATTTATGAAGCAAGAACAATTACGAGCAGAAGTTCTCTAAAAGACGCTGAATACTTGCTGAACAAGCGTAAACCATTGACGGGGATAGCGACAGATCCACACTGTATCCACTTTTTGAGGACAGTAGGGACACCCGGAAAGTAGCCCGAATCGTAGCACGTGCCAGCAGCAAGCACATGCTAGCAAGACTGCCAGCTGTTTCCTCTTTGGCCAATTGCTTATAAGCAAGCTGATGGAAGTTTCAGCTTTTGGTATATATCAGCACCGATTTACCCTCGGAACGAATGAACGAATCATAGAGTCATTGGTTGTCGCATTAGCGAAATCGAATCTTCGTCCGCATGAATCTCAGCAACACTAGTTGGCTACGTGATAAGCTCTCAAACAATTAAAAACAAAGTATATAAGACATAAAAAAAACAAACTGTCTAAAGCATATGAAAATTAAAACCATGTTCATATTTTATAATCTAACGAAATTTCCAATGATTGAGTTGGATAGCACGAAGTCTGGTTGTGAACTGACCTTTGGCTGCAGCAGTCTGTTGCTGGGGTGTTTCAAACGGGTTGAATGCGTCGATCAGCGGGATTGAAAGTCGAGAGGCAGGTCTGAATTTAAATGAAAATTATCAATGAGTGCCTAAAAATCAATCATTTTATCATTTATAAAGATGTATGTAGCTAAAAAAGTCTGCTGAAATGTATATTAGTATTTGACCAAATTTTGAAATGTACTAATTTTTCGAAAAAATTTCAGAAGCCAAAAAAGACCAGAGTCCCTCCCGCAATTGCTCTCAGTGAGGAACGGAGGAACATGAGAAGTAGCCCGAGTGGTAGCAAATGTCAACAGCAACTAATCGCTGGCAAGTCTATCGATGGTCCCCTCTACCGAAGGTTACATACAAACAATCTGATGGCGAATTTACCATCGAAAGGAACCGTAAAAGGACCGGTTGTCCCATCAGCGAAGTGAACTTCGAGTTTTGGTGATCCGAACAAGTTTAAAAAAGCAAAACGAGTCGAAAACGATGAACCGTACCGAGTATCTGCACCTAATGGATCATCTCTATCTGTTTTGCTGTTCGCATTTGCACTAAGCCGTGCTCGCAGTTCTGCGGGAAGATCCTCAGAAGAATGTTTCTGAAAACACAAATGAACAAAACAAATCATTGGCGACGCGCACCGGGCGGCCCCATGCGATCATGCGTTTTTGCAGTGTTTCGTGCTATAATGAGATCGCTCGGGAACCTAGTAGTTAGGATTTGTAACGTACTGGTCGCCGAAATTCAGGAAGTTAATTGTCTATACGGTACTTTGGCAGGGAACATTCCGTTAAAATTTTAGCTTTCCAGTTTCTTTGGCTCTTGAGTTAGCGATTTTCCCGACAAAAGATTTCGTGGATCCGTAAATGAGAACCACACATATCTGGGAGCTGAATTTGATACCTTTAACTTTCACGGGAGACCGGGAACATTCCCAGAAAATTTCAGCCTCCCAGCTTTACTGGTTTCCGAGCTAGCCATTCCCCCGCCAAAAATTTCCATGAGGCCCATGCACACCGAGGGGCTGAATTCGATAATTTTAAGTTGTACACGTGCTGGGAACAGTCCCTTGAAATTTCAGCATTCTGGCTTTCTTGGTTCCCAAGTTAGTGATTTTCCTGCCAGGAATCCTCACGGGGCCGTACGTGGGAACCGCTCACTCCTGGGGCTGAATATGAAATCTTTTAGTTTATGCGGACAAGGAAAATAACATTAAAGTTTCAGCTTTCTGGCTTATCTGGCTCCTGAGTTAGTGATTTTCCCGCCAAAACCTTAACCCTTTCATAAGTGAACCGAGACTTGCGTGAGGTTGACACCGGGGTCTTGGGATGGCGCTTGGCCAGGGAACCCACTGGCAAAATTTTGGCGCAGGAGCTTTCTTAGTTGCTGAGTTGAAATACCCGGACAGAGGCACATACACACCGGGTTCGTCACAGTACGCGTTTTTGCATTTGCACATAAGCAAAAACGCATAATCACTCAAATTAGAATAGAATAGCATGGTTTAAGATAAATACGGTAAAACGTATAAGTGAAGTTTGCTTGAGCTCCTCATTCCGAGACTCATGATTTTTAGTTCGGGGCAAATAGAAAGCAATGAATATTCTCTATCGTAGACTTCACCAAATGAGGTAACATAAGACAGAAGTCCTCAAATGAGGTAAAGGGTTTGAAGTAAGGCAATGGATGTCTTTGAGGTACGGCACTAGAAGCTCTCTGATGAGGTAAGGCATTTGAAATTTTCAAATGAAATAGAATACCAAAGGCGTCAATAAACGTCAGAACTATCGTAACGCCTTGAAACCTTAAAAAGGCCTAAACTTTAGAAGAAAGTGTGACGGATTACTAATTGCTTCTAACTAAACATTGTAGCCTTTTTTGTGGCAATTTTCCAGCAGCTAAATACCTCGTCATTCATCACCTCCGCCTTTTATACAAAGTGAGATATGTGTGGGTGTGAGAAAGAATCGACTTTTTTACTTATGACTGAATCTAGCTTAGTTTTGATTTGTGTTGCGTTTTCTTTCCCTTCTTCCTGCATGGTATGACTTCTGTTTACACCAGCACCAAAACCTATGTATAGTGGAATTTTAAATGAGAACATCTGGATGGAAAAACTTTTTTGTAAAGTTAACACAAATTCAAAATTGGCATTTTCCTCGGGGCACTCATTTGATGCGACTTGATAACGCGAAACATCCGAAACCGGACAGTACCCAATAATCTTTTTTATAAATAACAGCTTTGTCTTTTTTATATTTAAAAACGAAAAACACAAAACCGGATTTACATGTCTCAAGAAGACAAGATAAGGATTGTATGTGTTCATCAGAAATCAGCACATCAATGGGACATCAAAATCTCATTCCCGTTTTGTCCTTTCGTAAAAAAAGCAACGTTTCAAAAAAAAAAATCTTTGTTTTTGAAATTAATTCTGGAAACGACCGAGCAGGATTTGCGCGTGTTTTATCGACCTGTCTATTGAATGTTGCAAAGCAAGTAATTGAATTTCTGTTCAATTTCCGACTCGAATTCAAGCGTTCCCTTTTCTTTTCCAAAATTACTCTTTTTAAGGATTGAAAACTGAACAGCACTGTAGTACGAATTGAAAAATCTATATAAAATTCAAAGAAAAACGATACAGAATTTGGCTAGTTACTGCCAAATGTCTAGGATTCGGCTTTTAAAAGCAGAATTTTCAAGCAAGTTTGCTCTGGATTGGCATCAAAATTTTGTTTAAGAAAGTGGGACCGGTCGAAAAAGTTCAGCTGAACAGTAAATTAAAGCAAGATCCGACTCCCATTCGTTCTGTGCTGGAAGCCAGGCCTCAAGAAAATAGGAAGTCGGTAGCAGTCACACTCTGGTAAGGCTGCCGATGGCTCCTTCATTTGAGAGTTTCTCACAAACAAGTTATGGCGCTTGTGATTTCCAGCTATCCGAAACTGCGAATTTAATACCGAAAAGTGTAAACGTAACATGAATTATTCAAACTTTTAGAAAGTAAATTAGTTTTTCCACTGGAGGAATCAGACTCTAGATATTTTGCATGACAGCAGCGCAGTTCCCTATTGAGCCTTGACCGTCACTGTAGCTGAATAGAGTTTTGTATTATTTTAACCAAAAAAAATTTTTAAAACCTGTGCGTATGTATCCAGAATAATGCAAAATGTTGCCATACATGTTAAGCGTAACATCACTCGCAATGCAATTTGTTTATGCGTTTTACGCCAAAGTGCTTATCTGAAAATTATTTAAAGCTTTTCAGCATTCGCTCGAATCTCGTCCGCTCCTCTTGCTCTCCTTCCCCCCCCCCCCCCCCCCCCCCCCCCCCCCCCCCCCCCCCCCCCCCCCCCCCCCCCCCCC